GCTGGGGGCTGGGGCGCCTCCCGCACTGGGACCCCGGTGACACTGCCGTCTCCTTCCTTCCAGGGGCGGGCGGGGCAGCCATGCTCCTGTCCGGGGGCGACCCCCCGGCGCAGGAATGGTTCATGGTGCAGACAAAATCGAAGCCTCGGGTGCAGCGGCAGCGTCTGCAAGTGCAGCGCATCTTCAGGGTCAAGCTCAATGCCTTCCAGAGCCGCCCAGACACCCCCTACTTCTGGCTGCAGCTCGAGGGGCCCCGGGAGAACATGGGCAAAGCCAAGGTAAACAGCTTCTCCCCACCCCCACCCCCACCCATCCTTTCCGGCCAGACCCCTCTCACCCCTGCCCCTGGGGAGACTGTGGTCCTGAGAGGCTCCCCTCCCCCACCTGGATTTGGCAGCATGGCCGGCAGCTTCTGGGCCATCCTCCTGGCCCTCCAGATCCACAGCCTCGGCTCCTTACCGGCCCTCTCCTTCCCTCTGGTTCCTTCTTTCTTTTCTGCCCCACCCCTCTGTTTCGTGTCACCTCTGCCCCTCGAGTGCGCTGAGCATTGAGAGAGCCTCCTCCGTGTGTGTCCCGGCAATGAGCCTTCCCTCCCAGGGTTCCAGCACCCACAGCCTCACTTTTCCATCTGAGGAGGAACTTAAGGCCCTGTGTTTCTGTGGCGTCTGCAACACACCTCTTTGTTCTCCACCAAGACTCTGGGAGGCCTGGGTGCTTCTGTCTCCTTTTAAGTCTTAAATCCTGGGCTGCCCCTTAGAGCTACTGAGTGCTGGAGCTGGAGGGGCCCTTAGGGACACTTCTAGAGCAATGCTGGCATTTTACAGATGAGGCATTAAAAGCCTGGGATGGTAAGGGGCCTGCCTGAGTGCTCAGGGTCAGGTAGGTGGAGGGTGGACCAGAACCCAGGGCTCTGCGCTCCCTGCCCCATACTCTTGATCACCTAGGCAGCCTCTTTCAGGGGCTCAGGGCGGTTCCTGCTACTCTGGAGTTAGATGGGAATCTGTGAGGAGGGCTGTGGGCTTTCAGAGGAGAGGGCCTGCTGTGTAGGGCTGGACTCAGACAGGCAGGGTCCCAGTGTGCCTCTCTTGTGTTCTCTCTGGCTTCTCTCACAAGCTTCTCCTTCGGTTGGGCTTCCCAGATTAGGCTTCCCAGCTTCCCCTGTCCCTAGGGTGTCCCTCTTCCCTCAGATTCCCTTATCTTATCTCTTCCTGGTAGGAATGCTACAGCCTCCCTCTGCCCTAGACCACCTTCCTCCCAAAACACACACCTTCTGCAGCTGGGTCTGTATCTCTATCCTAACTGGTCAAGGCCATGGGTGGGGGAGGCCCAGAACTTGGCCAGTCAGACAGGCAGTGTGAAAAGTTCCTCCTTCAGTCCCTCTGTGGGGGGGACTACATTGACAGTTTTTCCACAGAGGTGCTGGGGGAGGGAAGCGATGCCTGCCCAGATAGCAAACGTGCAGGAGCCCTTGAGAGTAAGACGTTTCAGAAACCAGGATAGGGTAGGTTAACAAGCGAGCCCTCTTGGGGGTCTTTGGATTCTTAATCTTTTTGCTACTATGAAGTACAATGGTTCCCTCTTTTATGGAACTAGTATTTTCTGAGGTGTCCCCCTCCCCTGCTCCTTGCTTGAATCCTGGATTGCTTCTCCAGGACTGTCTGCTCCAGCTCCCTCTGCTGCTTCAGGTTTCCTTAGGTCACAGATCCTCACACCCCAGGTTCCCACTCCAGGCCCTGCTAATGGAACGAGTGGGTCCTTCAGTTCTCACCTTGTCCCCCATTTCCCTTTGATGTCCCCTTGGAAAAGTCACGGTGGAAAGTGGGAACCTAGCATTGGGGGGATTCTGGGTATCTCCCTCCCTCGTTGCACAGAATGAGCAGAAAGGAGATAGCTGGTGATCCGGAGAACAGGGAAGGTGGGGAGGATAAGGTTTAGTTCCAGGGGTGAGAGTATCTGGGTTTGAGGTGCTGTTGCCAAGTTATGGCCAAGATAGAGGGGTGTGGTGAGGGAGAGTTTGAGATTAGGGTTTGCTACCTTCTAACTGGGTGACCTGGTCAAATGATATATCCTCTCTTGAGCCTTTTTCTTCATTTATAAAACAGAATGTAGTGATACCCTCTTCACAGAGGGATTATGAGAGTCATCTGAAATAATGCATACTTTTTAATAAAATGTGGAGAGCTATGGAATATTGATGTGAGGTATTATTGGTTTATTTTTTTTTGAGTCGGAGTCTCACTCTGTCACTGAAGCTGGAGTGCAGTGGCACGCTCACGGCCACTGCAGCCTCGACCTGCTGGGCTCAAGAGATCCTTCTGCTTCAGCCTTCCAAGTAGCTGGAATTACAGGCATGTGTCACCATGCCTGGCTAATTTTTTTATTTTATTGTAGAGACAAGGGCTTGCCAAGTTGCCCGGGGTGGTCTTGAACCCCTGGGCTCAGGCAATCTTCTCGCCTCTGCCTCCCAAAGTGCTGGGATTACAGGTGTGAGCCACTGCGCCTGGCCAATGTCAGGTATTATTGTTTTTAACTAGCTGCATAACTTTGAGCAAATTGTTTTCCCTCTTCGTCTTTCTGTTGGTAAAGTGAAAGTCTTGGACTAAATGCTCTCTAAGGTCCAGCAAAACATGAACGTGTCCCAAGTGTGAGGATGTCTTGGGGCTTCCATAGGGAGTTGGTATGGCTGACCTCAATCCCAGCTGTAGGGATGTAGAATCGCACACTTTGGTAATAGCCTACTGAGCATGTGCCAACGGGCAGAGAGCACTCTGCAGGATGGGGGTGGCTTGTTTAGGCCCGAGTGGAGGAGAGGTCAAGAAGGGTACAGGCTCATCTGGAGACAGGCCTGGGTGTGTTTTTACATTATATGTGGTTGGTTTTCCAGGAAAATCTCTATAAAACTCAAGAATGCTTTTAAATTGTTCTGTTGTGGTGGGATTTTAAAAATATCGAAGACATTGCTGTAGATCACATTCCCAGGCAACAAAACAAACATTGGGGAGGCCCAGCCTCTCTGAGGTGAAATCAGGGAGTGGAGAGGAGGAGGAGGGTTTTACTAATGATCAGAAGAGCCCAGGGGCAAAAGCTGCTCAGCCTTTTTGCCCTTTGGCAAATGTCAGGATGGGCTGGTCTGCAGACATGTTCACTTCCTTACTTTATGGGGACGATGGAGGGCAGTGATGGGGAGCTCCAAGGCAGTGGCAGCGGGAGAGGTGACTTCTAGGTTCTGGAGCTCTAGGGCCGGGAGTGGCTTGCTGGCTTCTGACTTGGCTGTCAGATGGAAGTCAATCTGTGATCTGTCTTTGCTGTACGCTGACTAACTGGGAGTTGGTTGTGGTCAGGGGAGTACTGGCGTTGGTGCCTATGGGCCCATTGTTAACATTTCAGGAATTTTGCAAGCCCGTGGAGTAGTATTTACAGCCATGGTGGGAGTATTTATGTCACAGAATTTGGTGAATGATGGAAATCAGGGTTATCCCCCTGCGGATTGTTAAACATTTACCAGCACACCTGATTGTGTTGTGGGCGCCTAATCCTTCTTTTTCTTTAGACTTATATTTTCTTTTGTACAAGTAATACACATTTTAAAAGTCCAATAATATCTAAAGAACCTAGAAGAGAACACAGTGCTTCCTGCCCTGACCCTCACAACTCCCTCTGCAGTACACCTCCCCACAGACTGTATTTGCTGGGGCGTTTATGCATCTCCACATTTCTCAAAAAAAAAAAAGCGGATACTGTTATCTTTTGATTACTCGATTTTAGATGATATCTTTTTTACTTCCCATTATTGTATGTAAGGATTTTACTCCTTTACATTGCCGTTCCCTCTTTTTTCCCAAGATAGTTATATTTTAATTTTCTGTTAAATCTGTATTTAGCATTGCCTCATCATGTCCATGCACACAGCATTCACATCTAAGCACTGAAGTGTACTGTGATTTTGTTTTCTTTCTTTTCGGTTTCATTGAGGTTAAGAACTCCTTGTTTTTCAATTTGCTTGTTTTTGTTTCTATTGCTAATTCTTACAGCTTCCAGTAGCCACTCAGTACGGTTTTCTGCAAGGTCAGTCTATCAGTTCAAGGTGTTCCTTCAGTTCCAAATTTTTTCTTGGGTCATCTTTCCTTCTGTGTGGTCAGTTACTTTCCAAATTGGCACAGCTATCATCCCAAGACTTCAGTTTGCTGTCATTCTTGGCATTCTTTGTCTTTTTTTCTTTGTTAAATACCTTGGTTTCTATACCATACAACCTTCGCTTTCTTTTTTTTTTTTTTCCTTAAGTCAGAGTCTCACTCAGTCATCCAGGCTGGAGCAATGGCACACTCATGGCCACTACAGCCTTGACCTACTGGGCTCAGGCAATCCTTCTGCCTCAGCCTTCCAAGTAACTGGAACTGCAGGTGTGTGCCACCTAATTTTTTGATTTATTGTAGAGATGAGGTCTGTCCAAGTTGCCCAGGCTGGTCTCGAACCCGTGGGCTCAGGCAATCCTCTTGCCTTCACCTCCCAAAGTGTTGGGATTCCAGATGTGATTACACTTCTCTTTCTTAGGTTGATGGAGCACATCCATCTGTAGTTTCATCAATTTAAACATATGCAGGCCAGGTGCGGTGGCTCATGCCTATAATCCCAGCATTTTGGGAGGCTGAGGTGAGAGGATTGCTTGAGCCCAAGGGTTTGAGACCAACCTGGGCAACTTGGTGGGACCTCATCTCAACAATAAATCAGAAAAATTAGTAGGGCATGGTGGCGCATGCCTGTAGTTCCAGCTACTTAGAAGTCTGAGGCGTAAGGGTCATCTGAGCCTAGCAGATCGAGGCTCCTGTGGCTGTAAGCGTGCCACTGCACTTCAGCCTGGGCAACAGAGTAAGACTACGACTCAGAAAAGGAAAAAAAAAGATGGTGCAGTGGCAAAGGGTATGCTGGCGACTGCTTTCAACATACTTGTCTCTTGAGTCATACTCTCCAATCTGAACTAATTGTCCTCTATCATGACAATTGTCTTCCTAAAACAGTACCCGGCATGTTTTTACTCTTCACTATCATCCTGGAGGTTGTTTTTGCTTCTTTCCTATGTTGGTTTCCTTCCTTGATCTGCTGGAAAGTTGCCCTCCAGTGACTTCCTGAGAAAGGCTTTATAGGAGGAAATATGCCTGGGCTGCATATCTGCATGTCCACGTTGCACAGCTGAAGGGTACTTGATTGATAGATTGGCTGGTATCAAATTATACATGGAAACTTATTTTTCCTTCAGCCATGTGAGGACATTGCTCCATTG